TTTTTTTTATAAAATTATTGAAGACAAAAAAAAACCCTTAAAAGTCCTTCGCTAGCAAGCACGGCACAACCTTTACTTAATAATCATTTGTACACTTGCGAATCTTAAGATTTTACTCTAACAAAATTCGTTCTTTTTTTTGAATTTTTTTGAATTTTTTTTTGGAAAAATGCGATCTTCTTTTTTGGAAAACATATTTTTTCGAATTATTGCTACGTTTTTTGCGGTAAATGACTGCCAAATGCAGATTGTAATATTCACAAAATGTGTGTCTTCGAACACTCGTGTAAATAAAAACTCTTGTTGCCGAATAGTAATGGAATTCATTAATGAAATATTGCGACTCTAGTTAATTAATGCAACAGTTGTACGTCAAACCTCGAGAATTTTTATTTTTCATCTTCAAAATTATAATTGTAACATTTGAGGAAATTTTTTTTTTTATTAAAAAATCAATTTCAACTTGTTTTCCAATTTTTATTGCGCAAATTATTTAAAAAAGAAATTTTGTTCACTCATTTTTTTAAAATTATTTTAAATTACTCGATATTTAGTGTAAAGAAATTTATTTTTCAAAGCAAAGAAAAAAAATTAGAAAGATTATTTTAAAATTCATTTTACATTTTTTTTCCTTTTACAGAAAAAATGTTGAAAATATTCCGGACCCCCTGGAATATAATGTTTAAAATTATTTTTTTACTTCTATTAATAGAAACAATTAGTATTTAGTGGGTCCGTAAAATTTTGAACAATATTTTTAATGATAAAAGCAAAAAAAAAAAAAGTGGAAAATTTGTTGTTCAGTAAAATGAAAACAATTTAAATAAAAAATAACAAAACTGAATGAAATTGAAATACAATTTCTTCTAGAATAGAAAATTCGATTTTTTGAATAAATATAACAATTTTTTTTATCCAAAATAAGGTTGTGTTATAAATTGACAAATACAATAAATTTTAAAAAAACTGAAATATTAAAAAAAAATTTTTTTATCGAGAGGTTTGCGAGCAAATGTTTCAAGTTGAAAACATTTACTATCTATCAACGTCCCATTTATCAATAGACGATGAAATTGAATTTTATTAATAATTCCGTAAAGTCTGGACTTGATGAACAGTTTTTCAAATAATAAAATTGTAACTTTTCCATTAATTTGATTAACGAGGAAAATTGTCAATTTTTGACATTTTAAAAGTATTTTGTAAATAATTGTATTTGTAAGGATTAATAAATTTTTATCGCGCTTTGAATAAAAAAAAAAGAAGAAGAAATTGAAAAGTTACAAGACGTGGAAAATTGTTTGTCTTTGTATTTTATCAATAATGAAATCATTTTTTCGAGTTATTTTATTCTGTAATTAAAACAAAATGAAAATTGTATTTTATAGAACGAAAAATTTGTCATTTTCATATTTAAATGTTATATTTTCGAATCCAATTAAAAGAATTGACCACACATTTGAATAATTGATAACTTTTTGTTTTTTTTTGTGGAGAATTTTTGCATGATTTTACAAAAGTTGTTTCTATTATTTTTTTAAAATAAAATTCAACGTAAAGTTACCAATTTATTTTTATTTGGTAATTTATTTCTTTTGTGCATAATAATTTTTTTTACTTTTTTACTTGAATAGATGGTTTTTTTTTTAAATTATTAACCAAAATTGATTTCAATTTTTTTATTTTTACTAATGTGGTAAATTCTCTTAATTGTATGTACATTACATTGATATTGTTAAAAAAAATCTTACAACTTTAATTAATTTTAATTCTTATAATTTATTTTGTATTCGAAACATTAGAAAATGTAAATTGTTCAACTTTGCGAGAGGTATTTCGATTGGAAAGGGTCTTATTAAAAAAAACAAATAAAATACAAATTATATAATAGAAAATGGAGTAATTTAAAACGACCTAATTATTTTACATCTGATTATTTTTGGAAATACAGGTAAAATTTCAAAGATTTATTTTACAAATTTGTGAACATCACAGGTAAGTGCTGAAATAAAATATTATCTGTAGGTTTTAATGTTTTTGAAATTAGCCTGCTTATTAAAATTGCAATTTAGGATGACCTAGAAATGGTGAAAGTTTTAGTGCTCAATTTTTTTTCCTTTTACAAATGGCATGATTTTTTTATAAATAATATCCCAATAATTAAAATTTTATTTATTGTAGTGCTTATTGTTTCCCAAAAATATTTTGTCGTAAGAAAGTCTGTATCTCAGATATTTTAAAATGTATTTTCAAATGTTTAAAATACTCGTTTAATTTCAATAATTTTTTATTATTAATTTTATTAATAATTTACTTGAAGAATTTTATATTTTTTTTTCTAAGTAGCTAAAGATTAATCAAAACAATTTTATTTTTGTGTCTGGGAATTTTTAAAAAATGGTCTGGAAAACCTGTAAAAATCATGGAATTTAAAAATCGATTTTTTGTGGCAACCCTGTTAGAAAGAGAAAAAATTATAATTTTCTGTTTATTGTATGCTTTTTCTGTAATAAATTTTAATTTTTAACTAAAATTCTTCTTTAAATCTATTATTTTTAATCACTTTTGAAAAAGTTCTTTGAGAATTTTCAAATCCATTTGTTTACAATTCAATTTTACGAAATTTCATCGACTAAATTCGGAAATTCTTCAATTAAATATTTAGAAAATAAAAACTTGAAATAATTTTTTTTAAAAATTCAACCAAACTTTTTTTCAAAAAAATTAATTCTATAGAATTGTTATAGTTAAAAGTATGCAAAATTTAAATTTTCAAAAATTTTAATTTAATACCTTTTAAAAATTAAAATATTTCTTAAAATTCAGGCCATAATACTTTAAAAAAATTCAATTATTATCTAAAATTGTAAATGAACTTTATTTTTAACTCAATTTTTTCACAAAATTATACGAGAATTCAATTATTTAAATACAAAAATAAATAATTTATATAAATAAATAAATGTTTCTTAAAATTTTATCAAAAAAATTTTTTTTTAATATAATTGAATTCTTTTGAAAAATTATTTTATTAAAATAGTAGATATTGAAAATCATTCAATTGAAGAAAATTTTTGAAAATAATTATTGAATTTCAAAGAAGAATTTTATTATTTTTCAAAATAATTTTTTTTCACGAGAATTTTTAAAAAATTTATGAACGTAATTGAATTTTTCCTAAGAATTTTATAACTTTTGAAAATAATTGAATTTCTACGATTATTTGTAACTTCTTCAAAATTCAATTTTTTTAGTGTTTTTTACTAAAATTCTTCTATAATTCATTATTTCCAATAATTAATTAAAAATATATGAAAAAATTCAACTAATTTCAAAAGAATTTGAATTAAAATTTTTCAAAAATTTAAGTTCTTTAAAATTTCTAATTAAATTAATTCAATATTGATATTTTATAAAATTTCAAATTAAAACCTTTTTAAAAAATTGTTATAAAACATGAAGAAAGCGATCACTCCGAGTCTTCGACTCGGAGCAATCGATTTCTTCATGTTTTATAATAAATTTAAGATAAGAAAATAATTGAATTCCAAAATTTTTTTTAAATAATTGAATTCTCATGAAAAAATTTATTTGTTAAAAACAATTGAATTCTGGAGAAAAATATTATTATTTATGAAAATAATTAATTTCTTGTGAAGAATTTTATTCGAAATTTTTTTAAATAATTGAATTTCTCAGAATTTTTTAAAACTTTTTGAAAATAATAAAATTCCATTGAGAAATTTTATTAAAAAAATTGAAAATAATTGAAATCTGACAAAGAATTTAAAAAGAAACTTTTTAAATAATTGAATTCCTTTGAAAAATGTTTATTTTTGAAAAGAATTGAATTCTTGGGAAGAATTTTATTAAAATTTCTTAAATAATTGATTTGCTTCGAAGAATTTTATTTTTTACGAAAATAATTGAATTGTTTCGAAAATTTTTACAAAGATTTTTGCCAATAATTGTATTCCTAGGAAGAATGTTGTATTTTACGAAAATAATTGTATTCTATGATCAATTTTATTATAAGTTTTCAAATTTTTAAAAAGCATTTTATCAAAAATTAAAAAATTTTTTTTATTTTTTCTCTTGAAAAATTTTGTTATTTATGAAAATAATTGATTTCTTGTGAAGAACTTTATTCCCATTTCTTTAAATAATTGAATTCTTAAGAAGAATTGTATTAAAAATAATTGAATTGTATAGGAAAATTTTATTAAAATTGCAATTTTACTAACTAAATCTTGTAAAGAATTTTGTTAACATTTTTTTTTAATAATAGAATTTTTAAGAAAATTTTATATAAATTTTTCGAAATAATTGAATTTCTCAGGACTATTTTTTTCAATTCTCTGAATATATTTGAATTCTTTTGAGAAACTTCATTATAGAAAATAAAAAATAATTGAATTGGTTTGAAGAAATTTATAAAAAAAAATTGGTAAGTAATTGAATTCCAGTGAAACTTTTATTAAAATTTTGTTTAAATAATTGAATTCTTTTGGGAAATTTCATTAAAATAGTAGATATAAAAAATAATTGAAATAAGGAAAATTTTTTGAAAATAATTAAAATTTTGACAAGAATTTTATTAAATTTTTTTTGGAAAATAATTGAATATCGGAGAAGAATTTTATTATATTTATAAAGATAATTGAAATTTTGACAAGAATTTTTTGAAATTCAATTAATTTTGATTAAGTAATATTATTCATTAAATAATTTATAAATAATAACAGAATAATAATTGTATAGAAGAATATATATTCGTCCTTCAAGAATTAAGTTATTTAATATTTAATTAAGTTATTGAAAAAGAAATTATTGTCATAGAAGTAGAAAAAATGATATTCCATGAGAATAAAATTCTATAAAATAAAAATTCCAACAAATTCACTTTTAGGACTTTTAGGACTTTTTAGGACTTTTTTTTTTTTTTTTTTGTTTTAGGAACACCTCAAAAAATTAAGTACAAGTGTTAAAAATTCATCATGAAACAGTATAATTATAAATATTTATTAAATACGAATTCTTTTTACAGAAAAATTATGGCAACATTGTTTCTGTTAACTAGCCGGTTATTCACCCGGTCAATGTACATTCATTAAACGAATTAGAAAAATAGTTTTTTTTTTTTTTTTTTAAATGTATGAATGAAAAATTATTTATGTTAACCAATTACATTGATTTAGTCACTAACTAACTAAGAATCATAAAATAAAAAAACAAGATATTTTTTAACGTCTAAGGCGATCATTTGGAATTACAATAAATATTTTGGAATTCGTATGTATCTTTTAATTTTCATTTCTTCGGATTGAAAATCATCGTCGGTCTTTCGGAGCAAATCTGTTTTAATTTCTTTTTCAATGTTCTTGTATTGGATTCTGATTCTTCATTTTTATTTTTTTTCAGTGAATTTACATTCAATAAATTGCTCTTAACTGATTGTTGAGGTATTTTTTTAATAGTCACATCATCGTTTTTCTTCTCTTTGTCCTGCTTCACTTGACTGGCGAATTGTCCTCTTCTCTCCTTCTCCATTTTCTTCGATTTCTTGTTTTGTTTGCTATGATTGAAATTAGTCTGCTTTGATGAAACTTGTTCGGAAAATGTCTTTTTTGCTTGTTTCTTTTTATTTTGAAGAGAGGCTTTTTCATTCTTTTCTTTCTTGTTTAATTGTTTCTCGATAATTTTATTCCAATCAAAGTTCTCCGTTTTCTTTTCTTTATCAAGCTCCTTTGGTTTTTCTGCTTCAAATCTCGAATCTTGTTCTTGTTTCGATTCAGTTGAGGAATTCATTTGACGTTTTTTATTCTTCTTTGTTTTTATCTTGGATTCTTGAGCTTTGTCACTGTCTTGCGATAAAGCGGTTTTCGATTCAAACTTTTTACGTTTTGGGGGACAATCTGAAATACTTGCGATGACATCGGGAGATAATCGTTTTAATTCAGAGATGATTTTCGTTTTTTTCTCTGATTTAAATTTCTTTTCAAGTCGAGGTTCCTCATCAGTAAGTTGACTTTTTGTTTCATTGCTTTCGGTTTTTTGCTTCTTTGATTTATGTTTACGATGATGAGATAAATTTTCAACTTGAGATCCGGGATTTATTGGTTTTTTATCATTTTGTGAATCGAAATCTTCAACACACCATTTATCGTATTCGGGGAAAAGTTGAGTTTTCTTTATTTTCTCATTTTCAACTTCTTTTGTAGGATTCTTTTTATTTACATTAGAGGAATCCGTTTTTGTCTTTTTTCTCGAAATTACGTCAGTCGTTTTATCACTTTTTGCTTTTTTTACAATCATGTGATCGTCTTTCTTTTCTTCTTGTCTAGATTTTTCTTTTTTAGATTTTGATTTCTTGATATTTACAACTACTTCCGCTTTATTTTCGTTCATTGAATTAATATCTACGTTTTCTTCGTTTTCTCTCGTCGACATTTTCCTCTTTTTCTTCTTTCGCTTCTCGCAGTCGACAATTTCGATTTCAATTAGATTTTCAACTTCCTTGTCTGCTGAATCAGTTCTCGACTTCTTTTTCTTTTTTCTTGCTTCGCTATTCGTGTCAATTATTTCTTGTTTATCTTCTTTATCCAGTTGATTGTCTTCTGGTGTCTCGTGATCTATTTTCGATTTCTTTTTCTTTCTTCGTTGCTCGCAATTCGTATCCACTGTTTCTTCAATTTTCTGCTTCTTAAGATTCTCGATTTCTTTATTCTTTTCTTTCTCCGAAACTTCTTCCTTTACTTTCGATTTCTTTGAGTTCTTTTTTGGTTTGTCACAAATTTCATACACTATTTCTTCAGTTTCAATCTCCTCTAGATCTATAATTTCTTCTTCTTGATGTTTATCTGCAATCTCTCTATTTTTCGATTTCTTCTTTTTCTTCTTTCGTTTATCACAATTAATTTCTTCTTCTCCTTCTGTTTTTGTTTCGTTCTTCCTTTCTATCTCTTCCTTCCTTTTCTTCTTCAATTTTTTCTCTTTTAATGCAATTTCAGCTTCTATTTCGTCATCATCAGATATTTTCTGCTTTTCTTTCTTCTTCTTCTTCTTTTCTTTCTTGACACTCACTACCGAATCTTCAAATTCCGTTTTGTTTTTAATTTTCAATTTCTTGTTTTCCGTCTCTTTTTCTTCTTCCATGTCTCTTAATTTCTTTTTCTTCTGACTCTTGTCTTTGATGACAAAAATTTCTTCACTATTTTCCGAATATTTTCGTTTCTTCTTTTTTTGTTTAATTGGATTCTTCTCTTCTTCTTCTTCTTCTTTGAAATCATTTAAAAGTGACAATAATTTGGGAGTACGTGATTTTTCAGGCACGAATGTTTCCTCCTCATCTTCACTGCTTGTTTGATTCATTATAAATGCTGGAAGTGTCTTCTTTCGTTTGCTTTCTTTTCGAAGATTCTCATCAAGTTTTCTGAAAAGTGGTGAACTTGATTTTGTCGATAATTGCAGGAAATCTTGAACGGAAATTTTATTTACAGATTTTAAGGGACTCTTTGTTTTCTTAATTTCCAATTTGGAATTTGTTTTTTCTTTTGATTGCAATAAAATTTTCTTTTCATTCAGCAATTGATTCAGGGAAATTTTATCTTTGAAAATTTCAATTTTTGTCACAACTGGTCGACTTATTTTTCTCTCTAATTCGTCGTCTTTTCCTTTTTCCGCCGATGATGAATCACTGGTTTCTGTAGAATTATTTTCTTCATTCTTCTTTAATGGTGATTTTTCTTTATTCTCTAAAACAATTTCTGAAGATTTTTTCGGCGTTTTTTGTTTCACTTTCTCAGGAGATTTCTTTATTTTTTCCGGTGAATTAATAATTAGTTTTTTTGTTGGAGATTTTTCAATTTTCTCAGGGGATTTTTTCAATATTTTTTCCGGTGAATTTATTTTCTTTGGAGATTTTTCAATTATTTTTTCTGGTGAATTTATTTTCTTTGGAGATTTTTCAATTTTTTCGGGAGATTTTTCAATTATTTTTTCTGATGAATCAATTTTTTTCTTTGGAGATTTTTCAATTTTCTCGGGAGATTTTTCAATTATTTCTTTTGAAGTACTTGTGATTAATTTCGCTGGTGATTTTTCAATTGAATTGTCTGGCAAATGTTCAATTTCGGAAATTTTCTCAATAAATTCAATTGATAATCGACTAACGCCGCTTTTTACTTCTTTCCTTTCGTTCCCATCCTGAGGCAAAATAATAATCGAAGAATCATTGTCGGTTTTGTTTTTCGCAAATTTAGGCTCATCATCTTCATCAACATCATCGTCGAGCAGAATAAGATCATCCTTAGGTTGCGTGGTGAATTCCTCGGCAGTTACGTCCTGGAAGTAAAACAGTGGGTTGTCATCTTCCGTCTGCTTTTCCGGCGAGCCTGCAACAATAGAAGATCTTCTATTTTCCGGTGATGGAGAAATACGATTTTCAAAATTTACTTTCTCTAAATCTATTATAGAATTGTTTTTTGAATCACTTGTGCTCGTAGAAACATTTAAATTAACATTCTCCAATTCCTTGGATTTACAAATTTCTTCCGTCGACTGCAAATTTTCGGAAACTTCCTGCGGTTCTAATATCTGAGTAACGGCCTCAGACGATTTATTATTTATTTCGCTTTCAGTTTCAGTAGCCGAAATAATTTTCTTTTTCGGAGAAACTGACGACATTTCTTTCAAAGTGCAATTTTCTTCACATAAAGATTTATCTTTCGATTTTTCAATATCATTTTTACAATCAAAACTTTTATTCACCGTGTCAGATGATAATTCTTCAGTAATGTTTTCATGATTTAAATTTTCAGCAGTCTCAATAGTTTTCAATTCATTCTCAGACTTTGAATTAGCCGTTTCAATTTCTGAGTCCTCATTGGTTTCTAACGCTTCTTCTGATTCATTATTTTCTTTAAATTCACATTCAGAAATTTTAACATTTTCTTGACATTTTTCTTCAGTTTCTGATTTATTTTCTATAGATTCACTTTGGGAATTTTCAATAATTTCTTCGGGCTTCTCTTCAGTTTCCGATTCACTTTGCGAATTTTCCATAATTTCTTGCGCTTTTTCTTCAGTTTCCGATTCACTTTGCGAATTTTGATTAATTTCTTGAGCTTTCTCTTCAGTTTCCAATTCACTTGGAGAATTTTCAATAATTTCTTGCGCTTTCTCTTCAGTTTCCGATTCACTTTCGTATGTCAAATTTATATTAACAGGACTTTCTTCCTCACAGAGCTGAGTAATATTAATATTTGAAGTATTCGGAGATAATTCTGAATTTTCTAAAGAAATCGAAATTGATTCATCGTGTCTCTTGTTTGAATTTTCTTCATTAATAGAATTATTTGAAATATTTGAAACATTAAGTTCATTCTTATTGGGAGAATTTAGTGAATTTTCATTACTAATTTTATTTTTAATCGGCGATTGGATGTCTTGAATTTTGTCTTCAATTGGAGATGAAATTTCCAATTTTTCAATATTAGGACTCTTCTTCTCTTGTTGACAAATAGTTGGTGAATTTAATTTTTTCGGAGATTCAGAATATTTTGCGGACAATCTTGGACTTTTTGCAGCTTTTTGAGGACTTTCTGGAGAAAATTGTTTCTTTGGACTTAATTTTAAAATCGTTTGTTTGGATAACTTCTCTGGAGATTCTCTTAAATTCTCCTGGAGAATTTGAGTTTTGATAATTTTTTTCGGAGAATCAATAGGAAACTGATTAATTTCAGTGAGAAAAGAGTCTTCTTCTATTGCTGGTGATGTTTCTTCCAGAATTTGGATATCGTCTTGTGAATTAATGGAATTGATTAAGTTTTCAGATTCCGATTCATAATCAGTTTCTGGAATAATTGAGCCATGTTCTTGAGTGCTTGGGGCAGTTGAAATTGTTGCTTCAGTGTCTGAAACAATTGATATTATTTCCGGAGCATTTTGAGAAATTTCCTCCTGACCAATTAAATTTGTTTTCAGCGTTTCATCCTCTACAATTTCTGTTTCTTTAATCGTTTCCGTTGTTTTTTCAGCGTCACTTTCTCTGCCACTGGTTTTCTCTTCGTCAGTGTCACTGATATGTTTGGCTATCTTTCGAACTAATTCAGCTGACAGACTGTTTCGTTTCTTCGAGAGAGAATTATTTGTATTTACTCCTTCACTGATACTTCTTCTCTCATGAATTTGCTCTTTTCGTTTTGAGAAAAATAACTGTTTTATTTTGCAATACGAAGAGGTTTGCTTCACTTTTTCTAAAACATCTTCCAATACAACGAAAACCTCTTGATTCTCGATATTCTCCTTCTCAGTGGCGTTTATGTCACAAACGTCGATTTCTTCGTTGCTATCTTCACTTTCGGCATTTCCTTTACAAACTTCATCCGATTTATTGGGTGATCCACAGACATCAACGTCAGAATCGCTGTCAACCTCCTGAATTGGATTCAAAACTTTTTCGGGAATAACTTCGGTAACGTTAATAGTTTCGCTCGTTTCCTTGGATTGTGTGAATTTAATTTTTGATTTGTTGGATTTCACTTCGTCGTCTATTATTTGACAAGTTTCCGTAGGTGAATCATCGAAAAGAAGACTTGATTTATCCGAGGGAGATTCAATTGATTTCTTACATGAATTTGATAAATCAGATAATTGACTTTTGTCACAGCCGTTTGATAAATTAATCTCAGAAGCTTTAGCGTCATTGGGACACGCTTTCGGAGAACTGATCTTATCCTTATGTTTGGAATCTGTTTCTTCGACATCTCCAGCTGTTGTGGAATCTGATTCAACTGAGAATCCAAAGTAGTTATTACTAGATTTTTCTCTCCGTGTGCAAAAAAATAACTTTACAATTACAAAAAAAAAGATAGTTATTAACAGGTCTCGAACCAGTGAAAGTATTTAAAAATACGGACTTTACGGACCAATTACTGACAAAAATATAACCAGTCCGAGTCAAATAAGAGAACATTTTACATAAAACTATAAATTAAATTTCTTCATGTTTTATAATAATTAAAGATGGGACAGTGATAAAATCATAATTTTATATTAAAACAATATTGTAATTTTTCAAAATTATTTTCATCATTTCAATTCAATTATTATTTTTAATAATTTTGAACTAAAATTCTTCTTTAAATCAATTAATTTTCGAAAAAGTTGTCTGACAATTTTCAAATCCATTTGTTTACAATATTCAATTTTACGAATTTCAATTATTCGTAAATTCTTCAGTTAAATATATATTAGGAAATAAAAACTTCAAATAATATAAAAAAATTTAATTACACTTTCTCCAAAAAATTAATTTCAAAATTCAATTTTTTCTAAAAATTCATGCTATAATGCTTTTAATATTCAATTATTATCTAAAATTTTAACTGAAATAAATAAATTTTTATTAGAAAATTCTACTAGAATTCAATTAAATACAAAAATAAGTAATTTATTGAATAATTGAATGTTTCATAAAATTCAATTCTTATAAAGAATTTTATCAACAAATTTTTAAATAATTGAATTCTTTCGAGGAATTTTAATAAAATTTTTAAGAATAATTACATTTTCTGAGAAATTTGATTAAATTTGTATTAAAAAATAATTGAAATTCTGCGATGAATTTTATTATTAATGAAAGTAATTGAATTTCTAAGAAGAATTTTATAATTTTTGAACATAATTAAATTTCTGCAAAGGACTTTATTACTCTTTAAAATAATCAAATTTCTGCAATACTTTGTAATTTTTCAAAAATTAATTTTTTTTAGTATTTTCAACTTAAATTTTTCTATAAATCCATTATTTTTAATCGATTTTTCGAGAATTTTCAAATTCATTTGTTTTTAACTGAAATTCATTTTTAAATCGATTTTTATTAGAAATTTCTCCAATAATTCAATTATTTAAATACAAAAATAAATAATTTATTGAATAATTGAATGTTTCTTAGAATTGAATTCTCATAAAGAATTTTATTAACAAATTTTTAAATAGTTAAATTCTTTAGACAAATTTTTATAAAATTTTTAAGAATAATAACATTTTCCAAAGAATTCGATAAAAATTATATTAAAAATAATTGAAATACTTCGATGAGTTTTATTATTTATGAAAATAATAGAATAATTGCGAAGAAGTTTATAAAAAAGTTTCAAAGAATTTACTTTTTATGAACAAATTTATGCAAATTGTATTTTTAATAATTTAATTTCGGTGAAATTTTCATTATTTTTGAAAAAAATTGATTATTCGTGTAGAATTTTGTAAAAATTGTTTTGAAATAATTGAAATCATTTGGAAAATTTTATTAAAGTAATAGATATACAAATTATTGAATTAAGAAAATTTTTTGAAAATAATTGAAATATTGCCATGAATTTTATTAAAATTTTTGAAAGTAATTGAATTCTTGTGATGAATACTATTATTTATAAAAATAATTGAATTTTGTCGAAGAATTTTGCAAGTCATTTATAAAGCTAATTGAAATTTTGACGAGAATTTCTTTAAATTTTTTAATCTAATTGAATTTGCGCGAAGAATTTTATTAATTTTGAAAATAATTGAATTCCTTTGACGAATATTGTTATTTAAGACAATAATTGAATTTTGTAATGAATTTTATTAAAATTCCTTAATATAATTGAATTTTGGTGAAGAATTTTGCTATTTATAAAGATAATTGAAATGTTGACGATAATTTTTTTTAAATTTTTTCAAATTTTTAAATAATTAAATTCTTTAGATGAATTTTAATAAAATTTGTAATAGTAATTACATTTTTCGAGGAGTTTTATTCAAATTGAATTTAAAATAATTGAAATTCTACAATGAGTTTTATTATTTATGAAAATAATTGAATTCCTAAAAGAATTTTATTATTTACGAAAATAATTTGAATCCTTGTAAAAATTTTATTATTTTTGAAAATAATTGAATTATTGCGAAGAAATTTATAAAAAATTTCTAAATAATTGAATTCCTGTAAAAATGTTTATTATTTATAAAAGTAATTGAATATTTGCGTAGAATTTTATTCAAATTTTTTTTAATAATGGAATTCTTTTGGAAAATTTTATTAAAATAGTATAGATATTGAAAAATATTGAATTTGAGAAAACTTTTGAAAATAATTGAAATTTTACCAAGAATTTGATTAAAAATTTAGAAAATAATTGAATTCTAGAGAAGAATTTTATTATTTATAAAGATGAAATTTCGACCAGATTTTTACAAAAATTTTCAACACAATTGAATTTCCAAGAAGAATTTTATTACTTTTGAAAATAATTGAATTTTTCTGCAATCATTTGTAATTTCTCTAAAATTCTCCAAATTATATCGTACGGACCTTTACGGGATTTACGGACCTAGTTCGAGCTCTGTTATTAATTTCTCATTTAACAACCTTCGGTTGACACAGTGGGTAATTTTCACCCGAATTGAGAATTAATTCGAATTTAATGAATAAATCATTTTTCAATCAAATTTTTATTATGGATTAAAACAGCAGTTACTTACGAGTTTTTGTGGTCGTTGATTACGAATCTAAAGTCAAGTCTTTAAAATTTTAAATGGCAGAATTTCGAAATATTGGTCGACCATGTTGACATTTAAATTTTTTGCAAATCTGACAAATTTTTGATTTGGTTTGGGTCAGAAAATAATTGTGTCAACGGAAGGTTAATACGAATGTATGAAAGTAGCTTGATGATAAATGAATTGATAACTCACCGGAAATTTCATCTTCTATTACAATAATTGGAGACTCGGTACTTGAAGGGTTTGCTTCCTTCATGTCTTGAGTTTCCTCAGCGAGAGAGGGTTGAGTAGGTGCCATTGACAAACGCTTGCGAGTCCTCGAGGGAGTTTCAAAATGTGGCAGAGTTGAGAGAGTAGCTTTCAAGTCATCATCCGACATAGTTACAGAACTGGCTCTCGTTCTGCGAGTAACTGTACCTGGTGTCATCGTTTTCGTCTCCGATCCAGCTCTAACAACCCGCCTATATACATTTCTTCATTATTTATTGTTTTCTTTTTCAGTTATACTAGACATTTGTCAATAATACATATATATTTTATTCACATTACAGGTAGAAATTGATGGTAAGACTCTTTTTTACCTTTTAAACGTAAAGCTATGAAATCAGAACTAAATTTTTTTTCCAATTTTAACTGCTTCTAAAAGTTTAGTTATTAAGAGGATGTTAAAGTCGATTGGATTTTTACAAAGAACTTTAAGGGGTAGGGTACAGTCTTAAAATTTTTGTATTGTATTTTTAAAATTCTTTTGAATGAATGCATAATATCTCCAGAATATTGGGTTAAAATTTCAAGTTAATCGGAGACTGAGTTATGAGTATATTAGTTCCGTTGGTCCAAACTTCAAGATTCATGTTTTTTTTTATTAAATAATCATTTGTAATTTGATTGTTTTTAAATTTGCAATATTTTCCAATACACCATTTGAAAGAGTGATTCCTGAACCATATTTTTCCATGAAAATTTAGAGAAATATTGTTCAAATGTTGCAATATTATATGCAAGTCGATAAAATAAATTAACTCTCTCCGTATTGCCAAAAAAAATTCTTAAAAGTATGCATTTTTTCACCGAATAGGCGTTACCCCTCCCCCTTAATGCAAAAATCCCAAAGACTGAAGTCCCCTTAAGTTCAATAGTTTTAGGGAGACTTTTTGATCAAGGATTTAAAAAAAAAATTTATTTTTGCTAAAAAATATTTCTTAGTATCATCAAATTACTGCCCCAAAATATTTTTTAAGAAATATGCAAAAGAAAAAAATTTATAGCATTCGATCCGAAGACGCCACAAAACACCGATTTTAAAAATTCCATGACTTCTCCAGGTTTTCCAGACCATTCTTTAAAAAATTCCAGACACAAAAATAAAATAAGATTTTGTTAAAAATTTTAAGAAATGCGTTATAAAAATAATGAAATTAATATTCAAATGCAGGGCTCGAACCAGTGAAAGTATTTAAAAATACTTGAGAATTTTGAAGCAAAACTTTTTCTTATTGTCGAGAAAGATCAATTAAACAAAAAGGAAGATGCAAACAATAAAGTAAGTTGATGAAATTTATTCATTAGAGAGTGCTTTAATACTTTGGTATGTTATTTGGTTTTTATATCGTGCGTTTATGTCTGTGTGCTAAAAAAGCAAAACGACGCGAAACTTATGGTCGGGTCACTTTATGTCGTGCAGGTTGGGCTACTTATAATTTTACAATTATGGTGCGTCCTGACATCGGAAATTCATTTTACAGTGGGCAAAATATATTCATGTCCGAAAAACGTTTGTAAACCATTTTAAAAAGTCTCATTTCACATCTCTTTCGATAACGTATTGTAAACGTTTCGTGTACTGAGAACGTTCTTAGAACTTCATACGTTTGTAATACTTTATTTTGACAGACAAATGTTTTAAGAACGTTTCTCGAAAGTGAATCTTTTCTTGTCCAATGAGGTTTATTGAAAAATTTAGATATATATTAATAATTTTTTGTGATTTTTCTTGAATTTTTAGACCAACTTCGAAAAGAAAAAGGAAAACTAACCGTGGAAATCTTAATTTTCCAACGTAATACAAGCCATTATGGATGTAATATGTGATCATGATTCAATTCGATCAGCGGGGCGCAACTATATAACATACCAAGAACGTCATTTACTAATAGTCTAGTATTAATTTTTTTATACAATTAATAAAATAAAAAATTGATAAAGAGTAATTTTTATATGAATTTTATATTTCCTCTTCCCATTTTCAAGTGCATTTCAGCATTCTTCTGTAATTTACGGGCCATTTTAGTAATATTCCTTCATATCACATTGATTTTCTACAGTGATATTGACACTCATTAAAGAAATTGAAATTCAGCGATAAGTTTTATTATTTTTAAAAATAATTAAATCCCTAAAAAGCATTTTATTTTTTATGAAAATAATTAAATTTCTGTGAAGAATATTATTACTCTTGAAAATAATTGAATTTCTGCAATAATTTGTAACATTTCCAAAATTAAACTTTTTTTCGTGTTTTTAACTGAAATTCTTCTTTAAATCGATTATTTAGAATAATTTTCGAAAAAGTTCTTTGAGAATTTTCAAATTTATTTGTTTACAATTCGATTTACAAAATTTCAATTATTCGTAAATTCTTCAATTAAATATATATTAGAAAAAAAACTTTAAATAATTTCAAAAAAATTTAATTAATTTTTTTCAAAAAAAATTAATTCCATAAAATTGTTAGTTAAAAATATGAAAAATTCAAATTTTCAAAGATTTTAATTTAAAACCTTTTCAAAATTCCATTATTTCTAAAAATTCACGCTCTAATGCTTTTAATATTTAATTATAATCTAAAATTTTAACTGAAATCCATTTTTAAATTAAAATATTTATTAGAGTTTATTAGAAAATTCTACTAGAATTCAATTATTTAAATACAAAAAAAAACAATTTATTGAATAGCTGCACGTTTTTTAAAATTGAATTCTCATAAAGAATGTTAGGAATAAATTTTTAAATAATTGAATTCTTTTGACGAATTTTAATAAAATTATTAAGAATAATAATAATTACATTTTTCGAGGAATTCGATTAAAATTGTATTAAAAATAATTAAAATACTGCAATGAATTTTATTATTCATGAAAATAATTGAACTCCTAAAAGAATTTTATTATTTACGAAAATAATTTAATCCTTGTAAAAATTTCATTATTTATGAAAATAATTGAATTATTGCGAAAAAATTTGTAAATCATTGAATTCCTGTGAAATTTTTATTATTTTATGAAAATAATTAAAGGTTTGCGTCGAATTTTATTAAACTTTTTTATAAAAATTGAATTGTTTAGGAAAATTTTATTTGAGTAGTAGATATTAATTTATGGACCAAGTTTGAGCCCTGCAAATAAGGTGTGTACAATTAATTTTCAATTTTCTAAAAAACTATTCTAAAAAAATTATTTTTAAATTGACAAAATTTCTAAAGATTATTATTTATTATCAAATATATCACTAGATGTACGAGTTTAAATTAAATAAATTGACAAATTAAATAAATTAAAAATTTTGTTTTGCCTTAATAGTAATTAAACCTTGACAATCACATCTTTTAATTTGTCATTTTATAGTGATGAAGTTCAGGAAATGAGCTTTTAAATAAGATCTTAACGACTTTCTTATAACTTCAATAGAAAAGAAAATATAAAACTGAACATATTGATTTTTAAGAAAACTCGTTTCACCATCATCGGTTCAGCAATTTTTCTTTCAAAACTGCTAATAAGAAATTTAATTTGATTTTACTAAAAATAGAAGAAATATTTATTTTAAAATTGGCAAATTATTTCTAGGAAGATTGTTTTAAAATAGTGTGAAATAGTTTCGAATTAAAATCAGTAGGCGAATTATTATTAACTATAAAAATAAATAAACAATTCTTGAACAAACCTCGTATTCTTAACGGATTCAGTTTCGAGTTCTCTTGTAGAAGATCGACTTCGACTTCTAGTGTTTCGGGGCAATTCACATATTTCAGAAGAATCATTTTGTTTACTTATCCGGGAACTACGTCGTAAGGGTAATTCTGCGACAGAATAAAGAGATCGAGTTCTTCGGCCTGAAGTCGGAGCTGAAAAATTAACTTTCCATCAGAATTCATGTCTACAACTTGAAATAAAATAATTCAAAATTTTTTTCGAAAAAGTCAAAAAAAATAAATAAAAAAAATAAATTTTTTTTTCTTAACATGTCTTTTCAAAAAGTTAAAAACCTTCGTAATTATTCAAAGTTGTGTTAAATAAATATAACGATTTAAAAACAAGAATAAACAAAATACGTAAAATTATGTATAATATTACAAATAATTGAATGAAACTTAATAGTATCATTTTTTTGTAACTTTCTTAACTAGCAAAAAACAACAGCTTATAGTTTTTATAAATAAAAATAAATAAAAAAAAACAAAAGCCGTATTTATCAAACCTAACCTCACTTTTAAAGCCACCTTATAATAAATCGAAAATATAATATCAACAATAATTTCCGTCAAAAAATTAATTAAATAAGAGAAAATCTTTTACGTATTTAATAAAAGTCATTAAATAATTAAAAAGATTTATAAATCAATTATTAATCGTTACTTTTATTGAAACGGTCAATGTGCTGTTAAAAAAACACATTCCTAATTCAATTTAAATTAAGGAAATAAATTTGTTTAACATAATTAAAACTGCTATTGATTGCATTAAAAAAATTTTAATTTATCCAATTATTTAATTTTTCATGAGAAAAAAAAGCATTTAAATTTATAAAATATTAACATTGTTATATTATATATAGTGCAAAAAACGAACCTTTTGCATCCTTTCCATCTTCATCTGACTTCATTGATCGCCGCATTTTTAAAAATGTAATCTATACGCATTAACAAAGTTATAAACTGATTTTATAAATCATACAAAAATTTTAACAGCAGTTGAAAAAACACGTGTATACTATCATACTCAGATACAACTATAAAAACGCAGGGAGAAAAATTGCCGGTTAACGGCAGAAACAAGATTAAAAAAAATTTAACTGAATGGTGATAAAGGTTCGATCAGACTGCTTGCCAGCGAGACGAGGTAAAGGCCTAAGCACAATTGCTACGCGAACAACGCAAAGCATGTGTTAGAAAAGGACAGAGAGATCTTTGTGTCCTTTTCTATCTCATGCATCTCGTTCGCGAACGACTTTCGCTATTGTGCGTTAAGGCCAACGCACAATAACTTCGCGAAAACCGTTCGCGAACGACGAGACGCATGAGATAGAGAAGGACACAAATATACCTGTTTTTTCTATCCTTCTCTAATTCATTCTTCCGTTTACAATAGCGATTAGTTTGAGTCCACAATAGCACCTTGAACGGAACGTAATCGTAACGAAATAATGTTAAGTATATTGTTTCGTAAATCGTTACGTTTACCGTTCTGTTCAAGGTGCTATTGTGGACTCAACCTTAATGAAAAAAAGCAATTGTAGAAAGACTTTGATTTCTGGAAAACCATTGCTGAGCTTCCCATCTATGCTTTGACAACATTGTTCATGCGCAAACACAGTAGATTTTTGGCGCGTTTCAAGTTCTTAACTTACGGTTATTTCCTGCCTGACTGTTCCTTGAAAAATACTCTCCAGAATTTAGTTTCCTTTAAAAATACATTTTTTGTTTGTGAATAAAAACTCATGATTAGGTGCAATTTGTAAAATTTTACAGCAATATAAAAATATGGCTGGAGTTTGGACACAGAAATTGAATTCTCTACAAGCAGGCACTCAAAATTCGATTATAATTGGAATAATAATTCACAGTGTCAATCCAAAAATTTTTGAACATGATAATGCAAAGTGTAAGTATAATTTTTAATAAAATATTAGATTTTTTTGCAGGAAATAAAATATTTGTTTGTTGTGTTGACATTATTTTCTTGTATTAATTGATGTTAATTTTATGGCCCTACTAAAAATAAAGTCACAAAACGACAAAAAAATCATCAGAATTTCTGACGTTCTGAGACTGCATTTGTTACGATTGCAGCCACATAACGTCAGGCTTGTGTCATTTTTCACCAGAAAGCTTCAAAAGTAGTCAGGTTTTTTATACAAAGTCGACACCCTCTTTTACCTGGAAAAAGGTCAACTGACCGTCATAAAATTGAAGGGAAATCTTTTTATTTGTTTATGTTTATATTTATTTAAACATTATACTTGTTTTTCATCGACTTAGAATTCTTCTCACAATATGTTCTTGTTATATAAACAATAATATATCCTTTAGAACTTAAATTCAAAAATGATATCAGTTTTTATTTATCAATTACGGTTTTCGAGATACGTTACAGTTTTCTTAAAAAAATGTTTTTCAAAATAAATTTTAGATATTTGCAATCGTGAAGATTTCTAGATTCTGAATTTATATTCATTTCACCTGAAATGTTAAAATTGCAAAACTTTTGAGCAATAAAAATCAGGTTGAAGACCCGAAGCACGTAACAATAGACCCAAAATTCTATTGTGAAAAAAGGCCTACGCACAAATTTGAAGTTTTTATGGTACTTTACATTTACCAACTATCTTTCGGTGGGGGACTGTAAGTTAAAAAAATGAATTCAATGAGAAATAATCACAATCCATAAACATCAGTATTCAACAGTAGGAGCATAAAAAACCCTGTAGTCAGAATTAACCAAAAGCTTCAGAAAACGTCAAAGTAGTCACAAAACATTAAAATTTCTGACGTTTTTTCATTATTCCTGATTTTATTTTTAGCAGGGGGAAAGCTGAATAAAACATACTTGGAAAATGTGCAATATATTTCTTTTCCTTCCCTAAAAGCAACAATTGTCTATTAAAAAATAATTTATTTTCCAGTCAATGACATTAAACGTGCTGTCTGGACTTTTACAATGCGTGATTCGCCAGATGATTTTATCAATGTTACTGTTTGGGGCAGCTCAGAATATGTTAATTCTCTTTTCAATAAATTCCAGATTGGTTCTGTTGGTAAATATATCTTTATATTTTTATCATTTTTATTTTATTTATTAAAAATCTTCAAATCCCGTTATTGCTTTTATAATAAAAAAAAACTGATATCAAAACAATTCTACATCTAATTGAAAACATTTTTGTATACTTTTCAAAACCAAAAATAATTTTTAACCCCTTTTACAAAAATAAATATTATTATTCAATTTTTTTTTTATTATTTTCATTAAAAAACTAAAATTTAATTTATTGGAAAAAATCTCAACTTTTAAATAAAAATGATAAAAAGTTGAAAAAAAGGTATAGTTTTTGTAAAATTTGAAAAAATGAAATTGACAATAGTTTTTGTAAAAATTGAAAAAATGAAATTGACAATAAACAGGATTCGAACTAGGTCCGTAAAAGACAGTTTTTTTTTTTAAAAAAAGGTCCGTAAACTCCGTAATTTGATTAAAAAAGACAAAAAGTTCGTAAATTGTACGATATAATTTGGACAAATTTAGAGAAATTATAAATGATTGCAGAAATTCCATTATATATTCAAAAGTAATCAAATTCTTCCCAAAAATTTAATTATGTTTAAAATTTTTTTTAAATTCTTGGCAAAATCTTCCTCAATTCAATGATTTTTAATATCTACTATTTTTATCAAATTTCCAAAAAAAATCAATTATTTAAAACAAATTTTGATAAAATTCTACGCAAACATTTAATTATTTTCATTAAATAATAAAAATTTAACATTCATTCAATTATTTACAAAATTTTAAATAAATTTCTACCCAATAATTAAATTATTTTCATAAATAATAAAGTTTTTATTAGTAAATTAAACTCTTTTAAACAATTTTATTAGAGTATTAAATAATTAAATTCTTTATAGAAGAATTTCCAAAAAGATTATTTTTAAATACTGCAGTTTTTTGAATAACTTAAATTAAAAATTGTGAAATTAATTGAATTAAACAAAGAATTCATAAATTGAATTCTTGAGGAGAATTTTATTGTTTATAAAAAATAATTTAATTCTTGGGATCGATTTTCCTACTTACAGGGTTCCTACAGAAATCCGAATTTAAAAATCCATACCTTTTCCATGATTTCCAGGTCAAATTTTTACGAAATTCCAGTGGAATTTTAAATCTAATTTCAATATTTTTGGGCTCTTTAAAAAAACTCTACTTATTAAATAGGCTCGACTCTTTGTTAAAAATTCTAAAATTATCAAAATTTATCAAAAATTCAAAAATCCGAATTTTTTAAAATTCAACAGTTTTTCTTCTCTTTGATAGTATGTATTTAGCTTAATTATTTTTGTGCTTTTTAAAAATACTTTACTTATTTAATAGTCTCGACTCTTTAGTAAAAAATCTAAAATTGTCGAAAATTATCAAAAATTCAAAAATCCGAATTTCTTAAAATTCAACATTTTTTCCTCTCTTTTATGGGATTTAGCTTCATTATTTTTGTGCTCTTGGAAAATACTTTACTTATTTAATAGTCTCGACTCTTTGGTAAAAAATCTAAAATTATCGAAAATTATCAAAAATTCAAAAATCCGAATTTCTTAAAATTCAACAATTTTTCTTCTCTTTTATGCCGTTTAGCTTTATTATTATTTGAATTTTTATTCAAAAGAAAAAATGGAAAACAGAAAAATTTAGAAACTTTTAAAAATTCCAGGCCTTTTCCATGATTTCCCTGATTTCCAGATTCTGTAGGAACCCTGATTACTTATAAAAATAATTGAATTGTTCGAAGGACGTATTAGAATTTATTTTAGATAATAATTGAATTTTTTCGAAAAATATGATAAAAATTTTTTAAAAATCACTATTCTTTCATGAAATTTTATTAATTAAACTATATTAAAGTAATAGAAAAAGAACAAATAGTTAAAAAATTGTACGATATAATTTGGAAAATTTTGAAAAAGTTACAAATTTTTGCAGAAATTCAATTATTTTCAAAAATTATGAAATTCTTATCACAAAATTCAAAAATGTATGTTCAAAAATTTTTTTAAATTATCATCAAATTTCCAATTATTATCTTTATTTAAATAATAAAATTCTTTTCCGAAATTCAATTATTTTCAAAAATTTTAATAAAATTCTTGTTAAATTTTAATTATTTTCAAAAATTTACCTCAATTTAATATCTACTATTTTAATAAAATTTTCCAAAAGAATTCAATTATTCAAAACTTTTTAAATAAAATTCTTCGAAGAAATTCAATTATTTTTTAAAATTGTAAAACAATTCTTTTCAAAAATTCAATTATCATTATAAATATCAAAATTTTTGGAGAAATTCAATTATTTTCAAACATTTCATAAAATTCTTCGCAGAAATTAAATTATTTTCTAAACTTTTCATAATTTTCTTCGCAGATATTCAATTATAATTGAAAGATGTAATACAATTCTTGGCAAGAATTCAATTATCATTATAAATAAGATAAAAAAATTTTTCGCAGAAATTCAATTATTTTCAAAACTTTGAAATAAAGTTCTTGGAAAAAATTCAATTATCTTCTCATAAATAACACAATTCTTCCCAAAAATTCAATTATTTTAAAAAATAACAACATTTTTAGCAGGAATTCAATTATTTTTTTAAATTTTTATAAAATCCTTGGCAGAAATTCAATAATTTTCAAAAATTTTAATAAACTCTTTGAATTCTCGTAGAATTTTCTAATAAAAATTGAAAAAGTTTTATTTTTTGTTTTGAGTAAAATGTTTTCTTATTTGACTCGGACTGGATATATTTTTGTCTGTAATCGGTCCGTAATTTTTCATTTTTAGTCCGTAAAGTCAAGCCTCGGATCGAATTTAAGGTGCAAAAAAAGTCGCTTTAGTCGATTTAAAATAGAAAAAAAGTCGAAAAAGTCGTTTATTTAAACAAAAATTTTATTTTTTATCCTTCTCATCTTCCACTGATTTCTAAATTTAATTATTTAAAACTTGAATAATTTCGTTAAATAAATATTTAAATACTTCTTGTTTGTTTTTATGCGGGAGTAAAATTTTAAAAATTTCTATGTAAAACCTTCTGAAATTTAATAACTTCTAAAAATTACAACTTTAATTCTCTTCAAATTCAGTTATTTTCTACATTTGGATTTTTGGAAATTTGTATTTAAAAATATTAGAAATAATTGAATTTTAAAAAATTAGAATGCAAAAAATTCTAAAAATTATTTTTTTCAAAAATATTTCAATATAATTTTTTTTGAATTTTCATTAATTACCATTTTGAAATTTACACTTGCAGATTTTTCATTAACAATTTTTGAGAAATCAATTATTTTCAAAATTTACAATTAAAATTCATTTAAAGTTTATTTTCAAAAATTTTTATCAAACACTTTGAAAAAAATCAATTATTTTCAATTTATAATTTTAAAAAATTTCAATTATTGAAACTCTTTTTTATTGAAAATTTATTTAGTACTTAATATTTATAAAAATAGTTGAATTGTTTTGAAGAAATTATTAAAAATTTTAGGAAATAATTGAATTTTATGGAAATATTTGAATTTTTACGAGAAATTCAATTAAATATGTTTTGAAAATAATTGAATTCCTGCAAAGAATTTTACTATTTATAAAAATAATTGAATTCTTGCGAAGAATTTTAGCATTTATAAAAATAATTGAATTGTTTCGAAGGATTTATTAAGATTTTAGAAAATAATTGAATTTATTCGAAATATATTAAAAAAATTTTTTGAAATTAAATTCTTCCGAGGAATTTAATTTCAATTATTTTCAAAATTTGCAATTAATATTCTTTAAATGTTGATTTTCAAAAATTTGTAAAAAACACTTTAAAAAAAATCAATTATTTTCAATTAAATTTTACAAAATTTCAATATTTATTGAAACTCTTTTCAATTGTAAATTTCGAAAATATGTTGCATTTTATACTAAAAATTATTGCAATATTCGGAAGAAAAGTCGAAAAAGTCGTAATTTTTGAAAATAAGTCGGAAAAAGTCGCATTTTTTGAAAATAGTCGAAAAAAGTTGAAAATGTTATAATATCCTAGGCCTGTAAAGTCTGTATTTATAAATACTTTCACTGGTTCGAGCCCTGGATATAAATGTAAAATACTTTTTTCAGTTGAAATTATAAGTGGCAAAGTGACTGGTCGAAGTGATGATGATCCAAGTGAATCATTTGTTCCTACTGTAACTTGTCAATTGAAGATAACAGTAAACGAAGGCAACGCATTGATGCAAAGTCACGATTCAGAAGACAAAGCTCTGTTGAAACCGTTGTTAAAATTGCCCACAAAGTCAATAGATACGTTAAGAAGTTTAAATTTTGCTCTAGAGCATTTGGAAGAGTTAAAAGACAAATTTATCGATCTCCTCGTCATTGTCACCTTCGTAAGAATAAATTGTTTAATTTTTTTCGTCTGCACAAAAAGCAGTTAGTGAAATAATAAATATTTGTTTTCAGATTGGTGAAATTCGTGAAATAATTAGTCGAGATGGTCGACAATTTAAGTGTCGCTCCTTTGAAATAACCGATGCATCAACAAATAAAACAATTTTACTTCAGCTTTGGGATTCAGAATGGATAAGATTATCGGAACTTTGGGAACCTCGCAGAACAGTTTTATTTTTGGCCGATATTCGTATTGGATACAATAATTTCAAAAAACGTATCGACTTGTCCATAGGTGAAAATCTTTTCTTCTAAAATATTTCTTGACAAGAAAATTAAAATGCATTTTTCTAAAAAAAAAAATAATTTTATAATTTAGCTAGAAAAACATTGATCACTGAAAATCCTAACATTTCACAAGCAATGGATTTACGACTTGCAATTTCGAATAGGCCGGAGTATACGCCAACGGATCCTTTCTCTATTCCGAACTGTAAGTATTAATTAAAAAAAATTTCATAAGAAAAACAGAAATTCGAAAATTAAATTTACACACATTTTGCTAAAATTTATTTAATATATAAAATTCCTAAAAATATTACCATTTTTGTGAAAGCTAATTAATGAAATATTAATTACAGTGAAGAACATTACGTCTGTTATGACTGTGCAAGAGATTACTCAGAAATTGAACTCAACTCCAAGTGAAGCTTGTGACAGAATTCAGTTCTTCGTTATTCTTTATGCAAAGATAACTGAAGTTAATTTGGACAACAAAGATGCCAATGTTCTAATAACAAAGTGGTAAGAATTATTTCATTTCATTTATCACAAGCCTTCGATTGACTTCAAGGCGAATGAAGTTGATTCAAAGTACAAAAATAGTCGTTTAATTATTTAATAAATACTTTTGCTTTCTCTCAAAGGAAGCTTTATAGTGACGTCGATTTCCGAATTTCTTAGAATCAATTTATTATTTTTACAAATTTTCATTAATTTTTTGTCAAAATTATATTCCTGGCATGAAAACGAATCGATTCATTTGCATAAATACAAATTTTGTATTTTTTGAAATTTTATCTTAACAGTTTAGAATAATTATTTTCTATAATAAAAAATTAAGCATATATTATATTGAGGAAGCTAAAATGGTCATGAAATTAACAACTTGTTTTACTTAAATATTTCAAAATTAATTGAATTTAATTAGAAATTTTAAAGAACTTAGATTTTTGAAAAATTTTAAAAATTCAAATTCTAAATTTAGTTAAATTCTTTAATATATTTAATTAATTATTAAAAATAATGGATTTATAGAAGAATTTTATTTTTAAAAAAACTAAAAAAAAAATTGAATTTTGGAGAAGTTACAAATATGTTAAGTATTCACAATTCCCGCCCTAACGTTATAATTTAAGTTCCTCACTAAAGAGGGCATCTTTATATTTTTCTACACACTCACTTTTGTTTTCTGTCTATTCGCTTACATAAAAGTTGCCTATTATGTTTCGCGTCGCTTTTAATCAATCTCAATAAAGTTTATAAAGTGCTAAAATAAAGTTTCTGATCCCATAAAATGTTTTGACTTGTCACTAATAACCTGCGTACTCGAACAGGTTATGGGCCCAGGTCCGGAATCGCGCAAATAAACCGCAAATTCTCTCGAAACGGTAGAGCGTCCTCGAACGCTTCGGTCGACGCCATTTTTCGTAGTTCACACACGCACGTACGCTATATCTCACGATGGCTGGTGCGAATGCTTTCGGTTTAGCGCGAATTGAGCTTTTAACCAAGCTCAATTATGATACATGGCGGATTCAAATAGAAGCTCTTTTAGTTCGAGATGATACCTGGTCTTATGTCAACGGAGATACTCCTCGACCAATTTTACAAGGTGAAGGTGACCAATTAGCCGCCGCACAAGCTGCCCTCGACCAATGGAACATACAAGACCGGAAACCAAAAAGCGATCTGATTCTCGCTATCAGTCCATCGCAACTTCGTCATATTCGGAACTGTAACACTTCGAAGGAAATATGGGATAAGTTAAAATCTGTTTACGCGTCAGAGGGACCAATGAGAAAAGCGAATCTCCTCGAAAAATTATTGTCTCTCAGAATGCAAGAAAACACAGACATTCGCGATCACTTGTCTGAGTTCATGGACACAGTTGACAAACTTAATAGTATGGAAATTGAAATTAATGGCGATTTACTTTCGATTATGTTGCTTCACAGTTTGCCCAGCAATTTTAATAACTTTAGTTGTGCCATCAAATCACGCGATAAATTACCCGATGTAGAGTCGTTGATTATTAAAATTATCGAAGAGAGTGAAAGTAAAGCTCATAAAAGTGATTCCGATTCTAGTGCCATGTTCTCCAAACATCGATTTCCCAAAAATAAACCATCGAATCAAAGTGACAGTGCAAACAGTGAAAATCCGAATTCAAATAAAAATATACAGTGCGGATATTGTAAGAAAAAGGGACATTTTACGAAAAATTGTTTTAAAAAGAAAAATAAAAATCGAAATAATAATGACGCGAATAATGTTTTTCTTACAAACGAAATTAATTCCGCCTCGGTATCTGTGTATAATGTGACTGATAAAGAAAAGTGGTGTCTCGATAGTGGATGCACAACGCATCTGTGCAATGACTCAAAAGGTCTCACTAATTTGTGCGAAGTAAATTCTAGTGTGCGATTAGCCAGCAATGCGACGGCACCTGTCATTGCTAAGGGCGATGTAGACATTATTACTTCCGACGGAAAAATCGACAGTGTTATTACTCTTCAAAATACACTTCACGTGCCGGATCTACGCACAAATTTAGTGTCGATTGCTAAAATTGTAGATAAAGATCATCAAGTGATATTTTCGAAAACAAGTGCTATAGTACAGGACGCAAATGGTGTAACAAAAATGGTTGCTGATCGACAAGGTGACTTATTTTTTCTCCGTGAAGGAAATAATAGTGCGTGTATTTCTACCAGTTCCGCGACGTGTAATACAATGATTTGGCATCAGCGTCTTGGACATTTAAATTTTAAGGACATGTCGACTATGTTACGTAATAAATCTGTTGATGGATTAACATTCAATTTGGAAGAAAAACTTCCTCCGTGTGATGAGTGTGCTATCGCGAAATTAACCAGACTTCCCTTTCCAAAACGTTTAGAAAGATCCCCAGAAATACTTGGAATAATACATTCTGACCTCTGCGGCCCGATGAGGCAAGAATCCTTCGGCGGAGCTCGTTACATTTTAACGTTTACGGACGATCATAGTCGCTGGACTGAAATTTATTTCTTGAAAAGCAAATCCGAAGTTCCCTCCAAATTTCTGGAATTTAAAAACTATATCGAAAATCAAACTGGTAAGAAAATTAAAAGTCTTCAAAGTGACAACGGCACCGAATATTGCAACTCGAGAATGGACGATATTTTGAGAAAAGCAGGGATACAGCGCCGACTATCAACAACACATACACCTCAACAGAACGGTATTTCAGAGAGGAAAAATAGAACTCTTTTGGAGGCAGCTCGTTGTTTATTGTCAGATTCGAAACTTTCCACTCGTTTTTGGGCTGAAGCAGTTTCAGCAGCAAACCATGTACGCAATCGGTGTGTGACAATGATCTTGGGAAAACAAACTCCTTTCGAAGTTATTTTTGGTCGACGTCCAAAGGTCAACTACCTAAGAAGATTCGGCTCGAAGGTGTTCATTTTGAATAAATCTCCTACCAAGGATAAATTTGCGCCAAGGGGAATCGAGGGTGTCTTCGTAGGATACGCCGAAAACTCCAAAGCTTACAGGATCTGGGTTTCTTCTGAGAAGAGAATTCATGTCACACGAGATGTTAAATTCGTTAACGAAACTGATCTTAATTATTCAACTCGAAATTCTACTGATAAATTTGACAATTTTTCTCAAGTTTCAGACTCTGATGCAGATACTAACAAGTACGTCGATTTCGAGCTCCTTGCACCTCTTGATGTCCAGAATCAACCAGAGATCCCGATTGCTGCCATTGATAATGAAGAGCATCAACCTCCAAACATTCCGAATGAGCCTTTAGAAATCCGGAATAATGCTGGTGATCAATTACGAAGAGGACCTGGTCGTCCTAGTAAAGAACGAACTGGAGCAGTGGGTCGTCCTAAGAAGAAATATAATCTTGTTCCTGTGGAAGAACAAATTGCGCCGGCAGAACGAATTATACCAGAAGGACCTCCTCGTGATGACTCAAGTTCGAGTGAAGAAGAATTTTTTGGATGGGATAATGATAATGAAGTTATGTTTGCAAGCGAAGTTCCATTTCATCAAGCTCTTTCTGGACCAGACAAGGACGAGTGGCGGAATTCCATTTACCTGGAAACTAAAAATCTTGTACTGAATGATACATTCGAAATTGTATCAAAACCATCCGATGCCAAGGTCATCAAGTGTCGTACAGTTTTATGCAACAAATTTGATGCCGATGGAAACATAAGTCGCAGAAAGGCCCGCACCGTTGCAAAGGGATTCACTCAACAGTTTGGTGTTGACTTTTTCGAGACTTTTTCACCTGTGGCTCGTCTTGGATCTTTTCGACTACTTATGGCTATTGCTGCGCAGGAAAATTTTAGGATCACTCAATTGGATATCGAAACCGCGTATCTCAATGGAAAAGTAGATGCAGATATTTACATCGAAAAACCGGAACTTCTGCAAGAAATGCTGTCGAGAATGATAAACGAAGAAAAGGGTCCTATCCTTCAAGAACGGGCGAGAACATTAATTCGAAATTTAGATAAACCGAACGCCGTCTGTAAACTCAAAAAGGCCTTATATGGGCTTCGACAAGCTGGCCGCCAATGGCACACCGAATTGGACCGAGTGCTTCGAAGTATTGACTTGTTCCCAACTGATTCCGATCCTTGCATTTATGTTGATAAAGAAAAGAAAATTTTCATGCTAATTTATGTGGATGATTTTCTCATTCTTACGAATGATCGTCAAAAGGAAAACCATGTCAAGAAAACACTCGGAAAATATTTCAAGGTCAAGGATTTGGGCGAGGCTAAATTTTGCCTCGGCATTGAAATTAAACGTAGCGAAAATCGTGTCTCCATTTCACAGCAGGGATACATCAAGGAAATTCTCAAAAGATTTGGAATGGAAAATTGTAAACCGATTTCAACTCCACTTGCTCTTGGCCGCAAATTTACCAAACCTTTGAAAACCGAGGACACCAGTTTGCCTTATCGCGAAATCGTCGGAGCGCTGATGTATGTTGCTCAAGGAACACGTCCTGATATAGCGCATGCAGTTAGCGTTTTGGCACAGTTTAATTCATCTTACGAGAACCAACACTGGCAGGCTGCAAAAAGGGTCCTACGTTACCTCCAAGGGACTTTAGACTACGAGTTAGTCTACCAGAAGGACAATTTACCTCTCCAAGGATTCGCAGACGCAGATTGGGGTAACTGTTCCATCGACAGGCGCTCTTTCACCGGTAACATCTTCAAGCTCTGTGGAGGAGCAATCTCCTGGCAATCTCGCAAGCAAAGGACAGTTGCCTTGTCTTCGACAGAGGCAGAATACATGTCGCTTTCGGATGCTGCCAAAGAAGGTGTCTTTTTAGTCAAATTTCTCAAGGAACTGAACTTCAAAAATTTGACAAATCTTGTCATTTTTAATGATAACCAAAGTGCTGGTCGATTGGCGGAAAACCCAATTCACCATTCCAGGACCAAACATATTGACATCCGTCATCATTTTATTCGACGAGTTCTATCTGACGGATTGTTGAAGATCGAGTACTTACCAACAAGTGAGATGGTGGCGGATGTGCTCACAAAAGGACTTTCGCAAAGTTTACATCAAAAATGTGTTCGTGATCTTGGACTTAAAATTTGAACATTTATTTTTGTTTTCTCGGGCATAAATTGAGGGGGGGTGTTAAGTATTCACAATTCCCGCCCTAACGTTATAATTTAAGTTCCTCACTAAAGAGGGCATCTTTATATTTTTCTACACACTCACTTTTGTTTTCTGTCTATTCGCTTACATAAAAGTTGCCTATTATGTTTCGCGTCGCTTTTAATCAATCTCAATAAAGTTTATAAAGTGCTAAAATAAAGTTTCTGATCCCATAAAATGTTTTGACTTGTCACTAATAACCTGCGTACTCGAACAAAATAATTGGAGAAATTCAATTATTTTCAAAAGAATATAATAAAATTCTTTGCAGAAATTCAATTATGTTCAAAATTTTTTTAAAAATTCTCGTAAAAATTTTAATTTTATTAACTTTTTGTAAATAATTAAATTCTTCTTCGAAATTCAATTATTTTCAAAAATTTTAATAAAAAATTCTTAGCAAAATTTCTATTATTTTTAAAAAAATTTTCCTCAATTCAATGATTTTCAATATCTACTATTTTAATAAAATTTTCCAAAAGAAGTCAATTATTTACAACAAATTTTAATAAAATTCTACGCAAAAATTTAATTATTTTCATATAAATAAGAAACATAATACAGGAATTCAATTCTTTACAAATTTGTTATAAATTTCTTCGTAAGAATTGCATTATTTTCATAAACAATAACATTTTTCACAGAGATTCAATTATTTTTGTAAATAATAAAATTCTTTTTAGGAATTCAATTATTTTCATAAATAATAAAACTTATCGCAGAATTTAAATTATTTTTAATTCAATTTTAATCAAGTTCCTCGAAAAATGTAATTATTTAAAAAAAATTTATTAAAATTCGTTGAAAGAATTCAATTATTAAAAAATTAATTTTTAAAAAATTTTAATTGATTTTTTTAAAAAAATATTATTTGAAGTTTTTATTTTCTAATATAGGATTTAATTATTGAAGAATTTACAAATTATTTTTAAAAAATAATGTTATTAATTAATTAATTAATTAATTATTAAAAATAATGGATTTATAGAACAATTTTATTTTTAAAAAATCTAAAAAAAATGAATTTTGGAGAAATTACAAATTCTTCTGAAAAATTCAATTATTTACTCTGAATAAAATTCTTCAAAAAAAATTCAATTATATTCAAAAATAAAAGAATTCTTTGCTGAAATTAAATTATTATTGTAAATAATAAATTTTTTCCCAAGAATTCAATTATTTTCAAAAATTTTAATAAAATTCTTGTCAAAATTTCAATTATTTTCAAAAATTTTCCTCAATTCAATAATTTTTAATATCTTCTATTTAAATAAAATTTTCCAAAAGAATTCAATTATTTAAAAAAAATTATTTTCATAAATAATCAAAATTATAGAGGAATTTAATTATTTACAAATTTTTTTTTATAAATTTCTCAGCAATAATTCAAATATTTTCATATAAATAATATTTTTTTCAAGGATCCAATTATTTTTATAAAATTCTTTTTAGGAATTCAATCATTTCCGAAAAATAATAAAGCTCATCTCAAAATTTCAATTTTTTTTAATACAATTTTAATCGAAAACCTTGAAAAATGTAATTATTCTCAACAATTTTATTAAAATTTACCGTAAAATTTATAATTATTAAAAAATTTGTTGATAAAATTCTTCCTGAGAATTCAATTTTAAGAAACACTGAATTATTCAATAAATTCAATCAACATATTATTCAATAAATTATTAATTTTTGTATTTAGATAATTGAATTCTTGTAGAATTTTCTAATAAAAATTAATTTAATTATGAATTTTTGTTAAAATTTTAGATTATAATTGAATAGGTATTAAAAGCATAAGAGCGTAAATTTTTTTAGAAATAATTGAATTTTGAAAAGGTTTCAAATTCAAATCTTTGAAAATTGGAATTTTTCATACTTTTAACTAACAATTCTGTAAAATTAATTTTTTTGAAAAAGATTAATATTGAATTTCTTTTTGAAATTATTTCAAGTTTTGATTTTCGAATTTATATTTAATTGATAAATTTCTGAAAAATCGAAATTTCGTAAAATTGATTTGTAAACAAATGGATTTGAAAATTCTCAAAGAACTTTTTCAAAAATTATTAAAAATATTGGATTTATAGAAGAATTTTCGTTAAAAGTTGTAGAAAATAATAATTTAATTGAAATGATGAAGATAATTTTGAAGAAGTTACAGTAACAATATTCTTATAATGTAAAATAATGATTTTATTACTCGGTCATCTTTAATTATTATAAAGCATGAAGAAATCGATTACTCCGAGTCTTCGACTCGGAGTGATCGATATCTTCATGCTTTATAACAAATATTCTTAAGTATAAATTGTTGAATTTTAAAAGGTTTCGATTTGAAATTTTTTAAAATTCGAATTCCTGTGGAAAAATATTAATGTTTAATTTTTTATTTAAAAAAAGAAGTTATTATTGGTGTTTTCGATTACTTATATAATTCAAAAATATTAATGAATTAAAAAATTTGCAGTGCTCTTTGTAAAAAATTAGTACAAAAAGATAACGATTCGTGTATGAATTTGGAATGTCCTTCTGGAAATGGAAGTCAAAAACCTTATAATCTTGTCAGTTTCAATGTGAAATTAAATCTCAAAGATGATACTGGATATCTCATTGGATGTAGAATTATGGGGAATGCAGCAGAACAAACTTTAGGCTGCACTGCTGCAAATTTTCAAGTAAGAAATATTTATTTTTATATTTTAATATGTTGGAAAAAATTCGATTCATTTACTTTTAATGTTAAATATGGTAAATAATACATTTATTTAATTTTATTTATTTACTATTTATTTATTTATTTACTCAATCAATAATGCATAATATTGAACAGGAATTTAAAGATGAACAACGTTTGGAGTTGAAATGGCAATTTCTTTTAGCTAAATTTGCTGTTAGAATGCAAATTTTAGGCCCAACATCAACAATGAATCGAGCAGTTTACAACATTTTGTCAATGACGCGCATTGACGCTGCTGAAAATTAATTTTTCGATAACCGACTGAAACAGAAGGCATTAATTTCAAAGATAAGAAACTTACTTTAGTTTCATTTTATTGTTTAAAAATTGTACAAATCTGTTTTTTATTTTTAGGATTAATTTCAGTTGGAATACTCAATGTAGCTTTATTTAAAAATCGAATATTTAATATATGATTTTAATATAAATGAAAAATTACTCGATAAAAGTAAATAAGTAAATTAGATAATTTAATTGTAAATATTTTCGAGTCAAATTAAGAATAATATTCGTCTTCTTCAATGTTTTAAAAACTATTTCTTGTTGAAGGATAATTTTTTTATTTCAATTCTACAATATCTTATCTTTAAAAAGATAAGTTTTTCCTAATACGATAATTGGTAATAAATTTGATTAATAATTTGTCTCTACAATAAAATATTTTCGTTTCTAATTTGTTCCATAAAGGGGAACGGCAGTTTTATATTTAAAAAGAACTTTTCATAAAAAAATTTCATAATTTTATTGTAATTGTTACAATTACAATGGTGTACAACTCTAGATAATAAAAATGATCTCATTATTTCTAATGTATAAAGAAAAATATTTTTATACTTGAATAATCTTTTAAAGAATTTTATAAATAAAACAAATTATAATTGTTCAGAAATTAATTTTTATTTTTCAATTATACCTGTTCCTGATAAATTCTTATAAAAAAACAATTTAAAAAATCCTATATTTGTCAATTAGTTAAAAAATTAATTTTTTTTGCTTTAGATATAAAAACTAAATTTTTGAAACATTAAAAAAAAAGTAAAAAATATTAAACCAGGGTTGCCACAAATATTTAATTTTATTTTTTCCTGACTTTTCCCTGATTTCCAGACAAAATTTTCACTTTTTCCCTGACCCTAAAGAATATTCTGATTCACTCTAAAAATTATTAGATACTCAAAAAAACATTCTACACTGTAAAAAAAGGGAGTTAAATTTTAACTCCCCCGGGGGGTCTATAAAAGTCGCACCCATTGGGGAGTTAATGCCAGGGGAGTTAAATAAAGAGAGTTAAAATTTAACACCCAAATGCTAACTCCCCATGGAAAAAATAACTCGCGCGGGTGTTGAATGAAGGGAGTTAGAAATTAACTCTCTTTTGGAGTTGATTTTTAACTCGAAAAATTTAACTCCCGAGTCCGTTAACTCCCTAAATTTTTTACAGTGTATTACATTTACTTACGAATTTCTTAAATTGTAACATTATTCGCAAACATCAATAACTAAATTTTTAAATAAGTATTTAATTATTATTTTTCCATAGGGATTAAAATTCTTCAAATTCAAACATTTTTTAAATTAAACAACTTATAAGAATATTATTATAAAACATGAAGATATCAATTACTTCTAGTCGAAGACTCAAAGTGATTAATATCTTCATGTTTTATAAAAAATTTTAATTTTCATAAAATTTTTCAAAAAAAAATTAAATTATTTACAAAAATTATAATAAAATTCGTTGCAAGAATTCAATTATTTTTATAAATAAGTAATACAATTCTTCACATGGTTTCAATTATTTTTAAGATACAATTTTAAATAAATTTCTCGAAAAATGAAATTATCTTCAAAAATTTTTTGCAAGAATTAAATTAGGTACCAACATTTCACAAATAATGAAATTCTTCGCTGAAATTAAAAAATTTTCAAAATTTACAATTTAAATACAAATTTTCAAAAGAATATAATTATTTAAATAAAGTGTAATAAATTAAATAAATGGCATAAATTCAATTATTTTTACAAGTAATAAAATTTTTCACAAGACTTCAATTATTTTCAAAAAAAATTGATAAAATTCGTTGTAAGAATTACATTATTTCCATAAATTATAAAATTTTTTTGAGGACTTCAATTATTTATAATACAATTTAAAGTAAATTCCTAGAAAAATAGAATTATTCTCTTAAATTTTTTGTAAGAATTTTATTACATTTCACGAATATAATGAAATTCTTCGTTGAAATTCAAATATTTTGACAATCTATTTTTTTAATAAAAGTTCTCAAAAGAATTCAATTATTTAAAAAAAATGTAATAAAATTCGATGCAGGAATTCAATTATTTTCATAAATAATAAGATTCTTTACATTATTTCAATTATTTGAAAAAAAATTTGAAAAAATTCATTGCATAGAATTCAATTTCTTTCATAAATTAATAAAATTCTTCACAGGATTTCAATTATTTTTAATACAATTTTAAGTAAATTCTTCGAAAAATGTAACTATTTTCAAAAATTTTGTTAAAATTCTTCGGCGAAAGAATTAAATTATCAATTATGTATTTTTAAAAATTCATGCTATAATGCGTTTAATATTCAATTATCTAAAATTTTAACTAATATTCATTTTTAAATCAATTTTTATTGGAAAATTCTACGAGAATTCAATCATTTAAATAAAAAAATAAATAATTTATTGAATAAATGAATGTTTCCCGAAACTAAATTATCATAAAGAATTTTATCAACAAATTTGAATTTTTTCGAGAAATTTTAATAAAATTTTTAACAATAATGAAATTTTTCGAGAAATTGAATTGATTGAAATAATTGAAATAATTGAATTATTGCGAAGTTTGCTTAGAATTTTATCAACATTTTTTTTTTTTTTTTAAATAATTGAATTCTTTTGAAAAATTTTATTAAAACAGTAGATATTGAAAATCATTGAATTGAGAACAATTTTTTGAAAATAATTGAAATTTTGCCAAGAATTTTATTAAAATTTTTGAAAATAATTGAAATTTGGAGAAGAATTTTATTATTTTTAAAGATAATTGAATTTTGACGAGATTTTTTTTTAATTTTTACGAAGAATTTTATTACTTTTGAAAATAATTGAATTTTTGCAATCTTTTGTAACTTCTTCAAAATTCAATTTTTTCCAGTTACTTTAATAAAACTCCCTGACTTTTTCCTGAATTCCCTGACCTGTGGCAACACTGTAATTTCGCGCGAAAATATAAGGATCGTCTACAATAAGTGCAAAAAGTGAGGTTGTGTTTGAACTCTGCGTTTAAAGTCCAACGCACAATAGGTTCGGGAAAGTCGTTCGCGAACGCAAAGCATGAGTTAGAAAAGGACAGAGATATATTTGTGTCCTTGTCTATCTCATGCGTCTCGTTCGCGAACGACTTTCGCGAACCTATTGTGCGTTGGACTTTAAGGCCAACGTAGAAAGAATACGGAACGGGAACAAGGCATAAAAATACTTTAAAATAAAAATACTTTTTTTAACAGGTTTAAACAATTTTTTTGTTTATTTATAGTTTTAATGTAAAAAAAAATTTTTTTTGTCACAGTTCAATAAACGGAACTGTTATTGGTTTTAATTAATAAAGAATCTAGAATAAAGAAACAAAAATTATTAACACTTTTCTACCCCCAAAAACTACCCGTATTTAAAAAAAAACCCAAAGAGTATAAAACAGCAATACTTATTTTAATAAATCTTAACACAAATTTTATAAGAAGTTACAAATACAAATACAGAATTCAGGTAATATTACGTGCAAATAATTGTTGTTAATTTCTCTGAGATTCCCGCTTCCACATTCAACTAAAATTCTCAACTTATAATAACCTAACCAAACCTAGCCTACGTGAATAAAGTGAATATTTTGCTCACAGCGCAACGCAATTTCAGTTTATCAGCAGATTTCGTTTTTGTTCATTTTGCCGCAGTTAAACAGCTCCTCAGTTGTCTCTTGTCTGTGGAAGGCAAAACGGAAAAAATGTCCGCTCTGCGGAATTTTACGTTTTCAATCCTTTTCTATGTTTTGTTGTTATTGCAAGGCCTATTATCGACACCTGCCAATATTCCTTTATCAAGTATTTCTGATCAACTTGTTGAAAGTGCTTTGATTTCTTTAAATGTGAATTCTCCGAATCACCGTGTTTACAAAAAAGCTGAGCTCATCAGTGCTCAAAAGACAGTAAGTCATGAATTTATTTTAAACTTTTCTGTAATACATAACCTATATATACATTTTTTGCGAACAAATTTTATTTACTTTTTTTTCATTTGTTATTCCTTTCAGTCAATATCAGATGCTAAAAGAATGTACATACCTACATATTTTTATAGTTTCGCGAGTTATTTGAAAATCTAAATTAATTTCAATTTTACAGTTTTTTTTCTCTTTTCATAGGTAAAAAAACAGTTAAAAGAAAATACGTCATTTTTAATAATCCCACTTTCTACGTTTTCGTTGTTTTAAAATAAAACAACGTAATTTCCATTTGCTTTCTTGAAAGATAAATTTTTATTTAAAAATCATGGAAATTATTTATTCTTTTTAATTTAATTCATTAACATTTTTTTTTAAATTCACTTATTTAATAAATATTTAATTTTATACATTTTATATTACGTTCTGTTTTAATAATTTTTTTTTAATAATTACAAGTACTTGTTAATATTTGTACAGTGTTTGAATTAATAGGAATTTTTTCTATTCAATGTACCTAACAATGGTTTTGTCACAGTTTAGTCACTTTTATTTAAGAGATAATTAAACAAAAGAGTTTTAAAACAAAATAAAAGACATTCGATTTTTATTGAAAAAAACTAATTAATTTTTATTTTTCTCTCTAAGATTCAATATATGAGAAAATGTTCTATTTATAGAAATTAATTTAAATTACTTATTTGTATTTCCAAGATAATTAAAATGAACTTGAATTAAATTAAAAAAATGTTCTTTATATTCACATCACATAAGAAATTACTATAATTGCAATTCTGCAAGTTAAACATTACAGTAGAACCTGTCGGAATGCAACTCAATTTTTGCTTCCTCATTTATGATGTATGTACATTGATACGAGATTCTCAAATGTCTCATTGACCTCGATAGATTATAAACTATAAAGTATTCTCATAATGGAAAATCTCATTTTTAAATTTTAATTATTGATATCTTATTATATTCATTATCTCAATACTCGTCTTTTTCTCATTTAAAATCAATAATGACAGAGGTTATTTAGAAAGAAAATATAATTCCTTTTTTCAAAATTATGAACCTTGTTTCTGGAGAATATTACTCATATGCTAATTAGAATCTTTAGTATATTTATCGCTGTTATCTAATTATCTTTATAAATAATATAAAATTCTTCTCCTTAATTCAATTATTTTGAAAAATTTTAATAAAATTCTTGTCAAAATTTCAATTATTTTTAATATCTACTAATTTCATAAAATTTTCCAAAAGAATTCTATTATTTAAACAAAATTTTAATAAAATTTTAACAGGAATTCAATTACTTACCAATTTTTTATAAATTTCTTCGCACCAATTCAATTATTTTTAATTTTTCAATTCAGAGAATTGACAAAAATAGTTCTAAGAAATTCAATTATTTCGAAAAATTTAAATAAAATTATTTTAAAAGTTCTATTATTTTAAAAAATTTTGATAAAATTCTTTACAAGATTTAGTTAATAAAATTGCAATTTTAATAAAATTTTCCTATATACAATTCAATTATTTGCACAGATAATACATTTTTTTTATGGGAATTCAATTACCTATTTAAAAAAATTTGAATAAAATTCTTCGCAAGAAATCAATTATTTTCATAAATAATAAAATTTTTCTTGAGAATTCAATAATTTAAAAAAAAAATTGATAAAATGCTTTATAAATTTGAAAAATTATAATAAAATTGGTCATAGAATACAATTATTTTCGTAAAATACAACATTCTTCCTAGGAATACAATTATTGGCAAAAATCTTTGTAAAAATTTTCGAAACAATTTAATTATTTTCGTAAAAAATAAAAATTCTTCGAAACAATTCAATTATTTAAGAAATTTTAATAAAATTCTTTTCAAAAATAAACATTTTCACAGGAATTCAATTATTTAAAATTTTTTTTTAAAATTCTTTGTCAGATTTCAATTATTTTCAATTTTTTAATAAAATTTAATTATTTTTAAAAAGTTTTTAAAAATTCTGAAAAATTCAATTATTTAAAAAAATTTGAATAAAATTCTTCACAAGAAATTAATTATTTTCATAAATAATAATATTTTTCTTCAGAATTCAATTATTTTCATAAATAACAAAACTTATCGCTGAATTTCAATTATTTTTTATACAATTTTAAATAAAATGATAGAAAATTGCATTTATTTTTTGTATTTAAATAATTGAATTCTCGGGAAATTTTCTAATAAAAATTGATTAAAAAATTAATTTCACTTAAAATTTTAAATTATAATTGACCACTTATTGAACATTTTTCGTCCATGTTAGCCGAAGTTATTAAACTTTTAAAAATCTAAAATTTTGAAAAATAAGACTTTTTTTGAAAATTTTGTTAAAAAATTTATAAGCACATACTTTTAAAAGTATCATATAACTAACTTGCTAAAAAATGCTTCGATTGACTAAATTTTGAACCTAATTCGATAAGAAATTACCAAATTATTGGTATTTTAAAAATTAAAAATTGTCGGAAATATAATTTTCTAAATTTTTTTATTTTTAAACTTTTCCTTAACTATTAAACTATTATTAACCATCTTATAGAATAATTAAAATAAATTGTTTGGACCAAGATTTAATCGTTTTTTAATATATTTATGAAAAGTTATTCTTTTTTATAAAATTAGTGTAATTAATATCAAAAAAAGGTCAAACGTCTTGGAAACAATGTCATTGAAAAGTTGTTTGTTTTTAATCAGTATTACTTAACAAATATATATATATATACATATATATATATAATTATAAAATCAAAATTAAAAAAAATAATACTCAACTTTCAATGAAAAAATAGAAAAATTTTATATTATTTCTTTAACTAATAATTATATTTCTATTATTATTATCATCTCTATGAGGAAGCGAAGTGTTCGTGAAATGAATACAAAGAGAGTTACGAAAAGATGCAACTTGGCAGCGGTTTTAATTTTGATGTAAATCTAACGATTGTTTAAAAATCTACCTATGGTTTCATGTAGGTTTATAACCTTGATTATGGCAATAACGGATTTATTAACAGATTTTGCAGAAATATAAATTTATTTTTCATATTAGTTCATGTTTATTATTTTATTAGTTCATTTTTTAGATTTGTTTCTTAGTGTGAAAATTAATAATTAAAATTTTTATTAGTTAACTTAAAAAAAGATACACACTTAAATTTTTTTAATAAAATTAAATTTTCGCAAAGTTTTATAAAAATTCTAAAAAATAAGATTATGAAATTTTTCAATTCTGTTGTTTCAAGATAATTGAATTTTTATAAACAAATAATTGAAAATTTTTGAAATAATTGAAATTTCTTTACATATTCTATTAAAAATAATTAATTTCTTTTAAAGAATGTTATTTGAATTTTTCGAAAATAATCAAGGGAAGTTAGTCACCGTAATTATAATTTTATTTTTAAAAATTTCCTCGCAATATATTCAATTATTTTCATAAATAGTAAAACTCATTGCAGAATTTCAATTATTTTTAACAGAATTTTAAACGAATTCCTCGAAAAATGTAATTATTCTTAAAAATTTTATTAAAATTCGTCGAAAGAATTCAATTATTTCTAGAAACTGTAAAAAAATTCTTCTCAAGAATTCAATTATTTCCATAAATTGAAAAATTCGTCAGACTTACTATATTCTTTTGAATATTATTTTTAACAAAAATTCTTCACAAGAATTCAATTATTTTCATAAATTTTCATAAAATTCTAAAAAAAACAATTCAATTATTTTTAAAAGTAATAAAATTCTTCGCAGAAATTCAATTATGTTTAAAAAAATTTTTTAATTCTCCTCAAAATTTCAATTATTTTTATAAATAATTAAGTTGTTCTACATAATTGAATTATTTTCAAAAATTTTAATAAAATTCTACGCAAACATTTAATTATTTTCATAAATAATAAAATTCTTTAGAAGGATTCAATTACTTTTATGAATAGTAAAATTCTTTGCAGAAATTCAATTAGTATCAAATTATCAATACATTTTAATAAAATTGAATTAATCAAATTTTCAATTATAATTATAAACAGACAAGATTATTTTTAAAAATTGAAAAATTCTTTGTTTAATTCAATTATTTTCCAAATTTTTGATTAAAATTAATAAAAAAAATATTATTTTCAAAAAAAAAAAAAAAAAATTAAAGAAAATCGTCAAAAGAATTTCATTATTCGTAAAAACTCTAATAACAATTTTTTAAGCCATTCGTAGATTTATTTATGTTTGAAATTAAATAAGTTTAAATTTGATGAAAAAACAAACCGGGAAGAATGAGGTTTGTCCTAATTTTTCCCGGTTAAAAGCGGGGAAAAAACTGGAAATTTTGTTGAACGAAAATAGTAGACACCCTGTTAATGTAAAAAAACATGAGAAATCAAATTGCCTTCCGACAGGTTCTATTTTATAATAAATACTTTCATATACAGTTTAATTTCATATTTGTTGTAAACTTGAATTCAGTATAAATTGTTCTTTAGATCAATTTAACAAAAACCTGATAAATTAAGTTTTGAAAATTTTTTTCTAACTGTAATTTCTATATTATAATAAACAAAAATATAAAAAAATCGCAGGCCTCGGATATTATGATTTTTTCGACTTTTATCGACTTATTTTAAAAAATTGCGACTTTTTCGACTTTTCTTTCAAATTTTGCGACAAAATACAATATTTTTAGTATAAAATGCTGCAACTTTTTTCGATTTTTACGCGCAGTATAAAAAATAGCTGTAGATAAATCTTTCGAAAATTATTTTTGAAAATTTTTTCTAATTAAATTTTTGAAATATACATAATTAAAAAGATTTTGAATAATTAAAATTTAGTAAAATTAATTGAAAATAAATCCTTTTTTTCAAATATTTTATTATAATTTTTGAAAATTAACTATTATAGAATTTTTATTGAAAATTTTGGAAATAATTTAATT